GTTTATTAGTACTTATAAAGCACATATTAATGGCTTATTCTGCATGACCATATTTTAGATCCCATAATCCTACCCATACCTAAACTTAACAACTTACTAACTATTAATAAGTAACGAATTAGTTTTTTTGAGGGAAGGCTCTAAATTAAGAGTGAATATGTGTTCCCTATTCTAAAGTGTTTTTGTTTATTATTATTATTATTATTATTATTATTATTATTATTATTATTATTATTGTTATTATTAGTAGTAGTAGTAGTAGTAGTAGTTGTAGTAGTATGTAAATGATACAATTAATACGAATATATCTATATTTATTTAGCTTATTTTATTTATTGAAGCACACATTTTATTGTAGCACAATTTTATCAGCCACTGCCCTAAGATCACAAGAAATAACTTTGGTATTTATTGTTTACAATTGTATTATTACTAGTGCAATTACTGGGGCAATATGGAAAATACATTATTTTGAGGAATAAATTAATCTTATCTGCACCTTCATTTTTTATAGATGAAGTAAACACATTACTATTACGTTGTACTCTCCAAGTTTACAATGATCAAAAGACTATATTTAATATGCAACATTATCCTGACGGTTGACAATGAAGAATACGTTATTTTCCTTCAGGCAAATGGTGGAAGATCTTGCTGCAATTAAAGCTGCATTAACTATTCTATTGCTTCAAATGACCATTAGAAAAGTCATTAAAGTTCATTAAGGGTAACTGAAAATTGACCATTTGTCAAACCAAACACTTTTGTGAATCTCTTCACTACAATGATGAGAGAGATTTTCCAGAATATAGTGCTCATAATGCAGAACTCAACACTCATATGCTTCAGTTCAGAAAAAGCCTGGCCCTTTTTAATCTGTGCATTTTCCACACATTAATACTGTACATAATAACCCTGCATATCATGACTGAGCATCATACAGACTATCCATTACTTCAAGTAATGTTAATCTCAGTGTAAATGCATAGCCATTAATATAACATCTGTATACACTGCATTTCTACATTCAATGTGCAATGAAAAGTATTTCAAGGGACATTTTAGTATTACACTTTTGGCAGATTACTTAGGATTGGGTTAGGGTTACAGTACCACTCATTTAAAAAATGAGTGCAACAATGCTAAATATAGGTGTACTGGTTATAAAACACTGGAATAAAAAAATAAAAAAATAAAGGTTTTGAACTCAGAGATGTTTTGATTGAGCAAGCGTGCAAAATTTGAACTGCTGAACCAGAGAGCAGAAAAAAAAAATCCAGCCTTTAATTCCATGGAGTTCACAGAAAGTCAGGCTGGAAGATGTTTTTTGCTTCCATGCCTTTTTCATTAAAAATATGGTGGTGTTACACACATGGGTCATGCAGTAAAGCAAACCTCATGTTTTTTTCAAACATCTGTGCTGTTATTTTTTCCCCTCTGGAACACAAAAGCAAATGTTACACAGTTCCTGCCATAAAAGCTCCAAACAAGCCAAAAAGCATCATATAAATGGTCCATATACACTATATTCCAAGTCATACGATGGCTTTATGAGAGAAAAAGCCTGAAATTTCAAGTCGTAGAACATTGTGTGGTGCTTTGATGGCGTTTTCTGTCTTTTTTTGGAGCTTGACAGACCCTGGTCACAATATTCTGTCAGTGTTTGGTGTTGCATAAACATCAGTTTGTGTTCCATAGAAAAACATGAAGGTGAATAAATAACAGAATTCTTCATGTTTGGGTGAACTATCACTTTAAAGCATATGTCAGATTTCATTAAAAATAAATAAATTGAGAAATCTCTTCATCATGTTTCAATGTGGCAAAGGAGATGGTTGCAAGTTTTGGTTATTGATTTTAAAGCCGTCTTTGAAGTGTTCTCATTTGCGTCCCACCTTCTGTTCATTCAACAAGAAACTGCATCTTTTTTTAATTTTTTTTCCCCACTGAAGATGACATGCGTCAGATCCCTCTGCACCTTAATTCATTACTCAAACACACTTCACACATGCTCGTTCATTTGCATGCCGTCGAGGGCCTTTCCTTTCTGTATGATATTAGGGCCACCAGTGAAGTCTGGAGTAATTACAGAGGTATTCTAGACCATCAAA